CCTCAGGTAGAGCAGCTGGGGTGCTGCCGGGTTGGTCCTGTGGGAACCTACCGGGCAGTGCCCCAGCTGTTCTGTCCCAGGCTCCAGATTCAGCAGCTGATCAGGCTGATTCCAGGAAGCTGGGGGCAGAGCAACTCTGCCTCCGGCTTCCTGTAGTCAGCCCCTGGTCAGTTTCAGTGGCAGCAGCCAGTTCCGACTTACATACAAATTCAACTTAAGAACAAACCTATAGTTCCTATCTTGTACGTAACCCGGGGACTGCCTGTATACCATTTTCCTACCTAATATATGTTAATATATCACTAAAATGTATAATGTACTCAAACACCAAAGGCATTGCTAAAACATTTAAATACATAATACATTATTTTAAAATGTAAATTCTTTACCCAACAGTGTAAACATGTACGTTCACATTTAGATACATAATCAAAATCCTCTGAAAGTAGAGGACTATAATCGAAGTGCTGCTCTCAATATCCTAGAACTGAACAATAATGCATAATACAATACAAGATTATACTCCAAAAGGGATTTTTTCACCCACACTTGTCTTCAGAGACTAACAGCAGTGTTTGTAAATGAAATTCATAGAAGTATGAAAAGGCAATGCATCAGACATAGTCTGGTTACATTTTTCCAAGTTTAAGTTTGCATTTCAGAAAAAAGGGCTTTAATCTTTTGACAATTTACAGTGTCTGGGTGATGTCAGAAGAATGCTTATCAGGATGCTTAAGGGCAGATTTAGTCTTCCAATCAAACCACTCAATCTCAATAAAGATTTAATCAAAATGATTACTCACTGTTTGCACACTTCAGAAGGGTAGCCTAGTCAGTCTGGAACAGGAAAAACTTAAACAACGAATAGTCTAGTAACACTTTAAAGACTAACAAAATATGTAGATGGTATCATGAGCTTTCGTGGGCACAGCCCACTTCTTCAGATGAAGCTTTTGAACATGAAAGGCACTGCATTTAGCCATATGGGGTGGAAATCCATCAATCTTTCCCAGTGAATAATGCATTACTAACCATTCCTCCACAGGAAGTATAAACTGGTATCAGTTGACTAGAATTATTTTCCCCTGGATTAGGATTAAATGTGAATTTGAAAGACCCACCATATAAAGTCACTCTTGAATGTGTGTGCACTCATACATACCCTCCTTCAGAGATCTGAAATAGGTTTCTTTCCTTTTTAATGCCTATCTGCAATGTATGCCACCTCTCTCTTCATTCCTTAAAGCTGATTCCAAGCTCTGTAAACTTGTTAACCAGATATGCAAGTATTGTATACTTCACAGGCAGTATTTTTACAAATCAGTACTGTATTAAGCATTAATAGCTGTCAAAAGTTTTCTCTCTTTACACACAGCTTACTGTCCTGAGGGCGAGAGGGAGAGAAAACAGCCTGCAAAAAGACTGCCTGTGATAGAAAAGTCATAGCTAAAAGCTGGGTATTTACAGTCATGTTGGTCCCAGGGTATTGGAGAGGCAAGGTAATATCTTTTATTGGACCAACTTCGGTTAGTGCACTTTGACTCTCTCCCCAACAGAAGGTGGTCCCAATAAAAGATATGACATTGACCACCTTGTCTAAATCACAGATTAAACACATTTTCAAAGTGTATAAAGCAGAAGTAAATTTTTTCTTCTGAAAATTGCTGACTAGAGAGAATTCCATTTGTTCCAGAATGGCCTGGGGGCTCAAGCTCTGCTTATATAATCAGTAAAAAAAAGTGTCAATAGAAACCTGCAGCTGTT